TGGGCACTGGCATTGGAGAGGTCCTTCCCGCCCTGAACGCTGTGAAGATCCTCCTGTGTTCTGCAAACACACATGCACCAAGGGTCCACGGTCCCCTATTTCCCTAACTCTTTTCTTGATCAGCGTCATAACTCAAAGCTGCACACAGAAATAAGATACCTTCAGTTACCTCAGAAGCAGACACACAAAAAAATGAGGCTTTTAGGTCTGCAGGCTCCTAAGGAGAAGACGGAATCTGCTCTGTTTGCCCCAGACAATTCAGCCAAGCTTCCCCAGGGCCTCCCAGCCAGGCTAATGAGAAACTCCCCGGCAACCCCCATGTAAAATGCTTTCATAGGTCTTTAAAATGCCTTAAATTCTCTATATATTTAGTAAGATTTTTGTACTTCTTTAAGATGTCCCTTGTTGGTCCTCAAGATAATACTCTCGTGACGTATTACAACAGCAATGCAGGATTGCAAAGCAAGGGTCCAGCCCGACAAATACTGAATCTTCTTTTTCCTCTGGGCTTTGAAGGAGCAGAAAACCCTTTGGCAAAGCAGAGGTGGGTGCTTGCCCGGCCCCCCCAGCCGCCCCCCCCCCCCCCCCCCCCCCCCCACCTTGAGCCTGTCTGCTCAGATGTATCTTGTGAATGCAATGGAAAAGCCACCAAGTTAGGGAAGACAAAAATAGAGCTTGGGGGTGGGCTTTCCACCTTCCTTACTGCCTTGCATCTTAACTAGTTCCCTCTCCACTCCAGCCCCGTCTCTGTCCTGCATCCCCACTTCCTCTGTTGAAAGGCTGCTCCTTTGAAACCGGTCAGTTTTGACTTGGCCTTGCCTTTTTGGACAATACAGGTTATCTGTTTCTAGGCTTTTGCTTCCTGCAGGGCACACACAATATTAGCTCCTCCGTTTCTCCTTTCTGTGGATGATCTTGGCTGACTCTTGCTCACGACTTCTGAGGTTTTTTTTTCCCCTCGTGTTACACGCAGCACTGGAAACCCCCAGACTCTGATAGTTTTGGCCTTGTTGCTCCCGTTTGTGTAGCAGAGACATCCCACAGACTCCTCTCCTCAGTTGGAATTATCTCCCCAGCCAGACGATGTTGGCGCTCGGTGAGTGTGGGGAAGGAAGGGGGTATGGAGGCTTTGCAGCATGAGGCTGGATGGGGAGAGATCCTCAGGGTGGTTTGGAGAGACCTGGGTCCTGTCTGTCAATAAGGAAAGCAAACAGCTACCCAAAATCCATCAGTACAGGGGCAATACCTGCCCTGGGAGTCATGGATGGCGTTCGGGCTCCTTTCCTAATCTCTGTCCTCTGGTCATCCTCACATAGACTGGGACCTTCTTCACAGCAGATAGAAGGCCAGCAGTAGCTGCTCTGCTTTCATACCAAGGTTGCTGCTTGATGAAATCATACGTAGCCGTTTCTACCATTTTAGTAGAGTCCTGGGGGATGGGCTAGTAGCCATTTCACTTTTGGAACAGTCTTAAGCTGTCACATTGCCAAAACCCAGATGAGCAGTGGCAGGGATTTGTTGTCAGAGCTGGGTAGAGGAGTGGAGGAACGTGTGTGCTGCTGAAGTGAATTTTGGTGTCACCTCTCCACCTTGGAGGGTGGGAAATAAATCCTCTTTCCCCGTCCACTGGGTTCTAATCACGTTAATGGAGCTTTTCAGAGACTCTTAGTGGGGTTTTTCATCCATTTGTCTGAACCCAGAAGTCTGTAGGTTTGTTGACAGCGAGGAGAACAGAACAGTGGGATGGCTGGAAGCCATTCAGTGTCCTTTTTGTCACCCGGCCTGTGTCATGCTGACAGGGGGGATGCTAGGCCGTGTGAGGGGTGGGGACAGCAGCGCCTGGCAGTGGGTGACACTGTCCTAGTGACACTGTCCTAGTGACACTGTCCTAGCAGGATGCCCGCCGGTCACTGACACAGCCTGCAAACTTTGAAGCCTGCAGGCCCTCGAGGGAGGGGAAGGGGCAGCCATGGGCAAGGAGGTGACAGTCCCCACGTCGGCGACAAGTCACCTCGCTGCTGGTGACTTGCCCTTTTGTCCCCCAGAGCCCTGTCCCTTCCCCTCCAGCTGAGCTGGCCTGCAGGAGGAAGCTGGGATGTCGTTTCCCATTTCACTCTGGAGTGTCCCCCTCCCCTCCTTACCCCCAGTCCCAGCTGGCAGAGTGCCGTGTATCACACTAAATAAAGTTATTTCACCAACACCTTCGCTGTCCTGCTGCTGGAGCCGGCGGAGGGGGGGGGTGGGGACCTGGGGG